AATAATTTTTTTTTTAAATTTGAAATTAAAAAATCAACAAAAGACAAACAAACCTCCTCAACAAAACAACAGCGCAAAAAACAAAAACAAACAACAACAACCAACAATAAAAAAGCAACAACAACAACAACGACAACACAAAAAAAACAAAAACAAATTTAAAACAAATCAAAACAAATTAGAACAAAACAAAAAGTGTCGTTTTAGAGTTTCACAAACTGGTTCAAACTTAGTTAAGCCTACGATAGGCCTACTTAAGAAGGCAACACTGCTTTCTTCCCCAGAAAAACCAAAATGTGAGGACGAAATTCTGTTCTGTGCCCAGTACACCTTGAGCGTCTGCACTGACCCGACCTTTCAGGGATGGGCAAGAAAGAACTGTAGGAAATGGTGCAACATGTGTAAACGTAAGTCGGTCTTGTTTGTAGGAAATGGTGCAAAATGTGAGCACGTAAGTCAGTGTTGTTTGTAGGAAATGGTGCAACATGTGAGCACGTAAGTCAGTGTTGTTTGTAGGAAATGGTGCAACATGTGGGCACGTAAGTCGGTGTTGTTTGTTTGTTTGTTTGTCTGTCTGCAAGCGTTTAGCACCATACAATGCCCTACATATAGGTAATTTTGAGGGCGGAGCACGGTTGCGTAGAAAGCGTGTGGAAGAAAGAGAATTGAAAAAGAAGACAGAGAGACGATTCACTGACAAAGTAAATTATAAAAGGTCTATCCCACTAGGAATTACACACAGTTTCAAACAAAAACGTCGTTCCCGCTAGTCTCCAGTCTCCATGTACGCAGCCCTGTTTTGAGCTTAAATTATTGCATAGTTCGAAGACTCGCTCCGACGTTGCTGATCATTCTCCACGAACCTATGTTGACTGACCCCTCCATCTCTGAGATGCTTAATGCTGATGTTCTTGCTTTGTCATAAACCCTCCCAAAAATTATCTGAACTTAAATATTCAGTACACATTGCTGAAAGCTTCATCAAATTCCTTTTTGGAGATGCAGCTCGTCTTGTGCGAACAAATCTCGTGGTCAAAGGCTGAGTCTCAACAGATCATAGTGAGGTGGCTGCTCTCCTAATTACAACCCCCCGACCAAAAATTAAGTCATCGGAATTGATAATGAATATGGGTCGGTACAGTTGGGGGTGAAGGACTGCCAGGTTTTCCTTCATGATTGGGGGG